AATATTTTCGTTAATAATGAATGATGGAGATGTGCCTGGAGTAAAAGGGGTTGGGGTGGGGGTGGGTGGGGAAGGTGGGGTGGATGGGGATGGTGGGGGGAGGGGGTGAATCCTTCATTTTACACCTTAGTTACCAAATGTTACGTTACGATATCACATTATCTCCTTATATGTTACGATATCACATTATCTCCTTATATGTTACGATATCACATTATCTCCTTATATGTTACGATATCACATTATCTCCTTATATGTTACGATATCACATTATCTCCTTATATTTTACGATATCACATTATCTCCTTATATGTTACGATAACACAATGTCTGCTTTCATTTCAAAAGCTCTGACTACCAAAGCGATGTAAATTTATTTACTGGTTCATTTATTTAACTTTTTCATATTTCTTCCACTCTTTTCGCATACGCCTTCTTACTTATTTCGTTTCGTATTATAGCCTTCATTTTTAGAATTTTTCCCTCAATTAACTCTGTTATTTTCCCCGTTGAGCTTTCTAGTGGCAGTTTCTGTTGTTATTTAGTAATCCGTCGATAAAGACTTTGGTCGAAACGTTCGGTTGTGTTTGTGTGCGTCTTTTCCATTCCCTCTGTTAGGATTTCAAGTCGCATATTTTATTATTTGGCATTTATTACATACCTTTATCATCCGTCTTATATAAATCATTCTTTTGCGTCTGCTTCTTCCTCTACAGCATTACGAGCCCCTGAGATTCATTACCGCAGATATGTGACCTCCTCTTTTCAGTTGGTGACTCGAAATGCTTGTAGTTCTGCATTTCTATTATCTTATCTGTCCACTGTCCTCTTGGTCTGCCTCTTGATTTACGCCTATTTAACGCCTTTGTATACGCAGATTGTGTCTCTGCGTTATTCGCCATTGTCGCCATATGCCACAGCCATTTCTGTCTATTAGTCATCCTAATGCCAATGTTTAGTGGTGGATTAAGTAGATTAGGTGGTTTGTCGCTGCCTCTCCCTCTCTATTCTCTGATGTTTGCATATTTGATGGGTGCAAAGATTATCCGTTAGGCTGTTCTCAAAAGTATGTAATTAGACTTCTTCTCTTTTAGTTGAATTCCTGGTTTCAATGACATAAGAGAATAATTGGTCTTATCGGTGTTTTGTATAAAGTGATCACGACGTTACGACAAGACATAGCCATTAATTTTAGCAGAAGTTGTAGATCACTGTAAAGCTTATTTCCAGATCGTGTTCTATGATGTATTTCTTCTCTCAAAATGTTGAGCATTTAAATAAAGGCTGTACCCACACACGTGCGTGTTTTCGCTTGCTGATTTTCACATTTTCAGTTTCATGCTATGGTCTTGGATTATTTCACTTTCTTAATTTTTACCGTGCTTTCTTTATTGTCTTGACTGATAACTAGTGTCGTTTTCTTGGTTATTTTTCTTGGGTGAGCAAGCATTTCGTCTCTGTATAGTTCATTTTCTTTTACTATATCTATGTCCTCTCGAGTTTGACTCGCAATTCAAACGTACCACGATAAAAACCCACTGCTGGCTGCGTGAATTTTTATCATGATATGGGGCGTCGCAGGTCCACCCAGCCTAAAATGGGTACCAGGATGTATGTCCCGGGGAAGTAAAGACTGCTGGCGTAATGCTGACCACATTACCCACCTAGTAGCGATTGGTCTGTGAAAATATGGGTGCTTTTCCCATATGCCCGATGCTCCTGAAGGCGTGAAAACGGATCTTTACTTTTTACTTAATTGATTTCTAGGTCTTCTACAAAAACGAGTATTATTGTTGTTTTAAAGCATTGCCAGTGTAGCACATCTCTCTTCTTTGCTGCGTATGTTGATGTCACACCTAGGTTCGTCTTTAGGTTTGCTACGGGAGGAGTCGATTTGAAGGTAATAGACGAGGAGAAAGATGGTCGTGTCAATAGGGGTTATGATGACGATGACGATGTCTTGCTTGCTGCATGCTTCTCACGTGGCTCTGATGCTTGTATCATAAAATGGCTGGAAACAACCGTTCTTGTCTATACTGTCTTTATTGTGATACTTCAGCAATGACACAAATAACATCAATGATACCATGAATAGGGCTGTGTTCTCTCTATGGCTAAATACTCGTAGGTTCGCGTTGTGTTCTTCATCTCTAGTTACTTTGTTAACAGGTTCTATTGTCTCTAACTGCCGCCTGGCTTCTAGTGCTGTTTGGTACTAACGGCTTGATCGTCGACTCTAACATCTCAACAGTTCTTAATGTTTCTCTGTTAACCATGGATCCATGTATCTTTTATGTCGTCTCTGTAGCTCGATGTCTTGTTTCACGTCTCCTCTTTAGTGTTTGTCTTCGAGGTTCCATGTGACTGGTTCCTCTGCTTCTAGTGTTGAGCTGGCATCTCCACAACTACATGGATCATTGAGACTAGTCGCTCGTCCTCTGAGTCTCAACGACTGAAGGCACTCCTTGAGTTGAGCTGACATCGCTACGAGTGAGCGCTGCTTTTAGGGTCCATATGACTGGTCCCTTCTCTCTTGAGTCTTGTGGATTGAAGAATTACCCTGAGGGTTTCTCACACACTTTTTATACTTAGATGCTGGAATGCTAGTTATTTGTTTTCTTTTCGCTTTTCCTGCTTCTAGAATATTCTAATAAGTCTCAACATGTTTACTATGTGCGTTTCTTCATCCTATTCTGTGATAATGTAGTAGTTAGAATGACAGCTGACGTCAATAGACTCCTAAAAAACAAGTGCTACTAGGTTATCTCTGAAAGGGCAAGGCTAGTAATTACGTCAAATACTATTTATAAAAATTGTTTCTAAAACTTGTTGACTTTCTTCTCATCAAATACTACCAAAATACTATTTCTTAACAAACAATTGATGACGTTAATTTTCTATTTTGGCGGGAAAAATGAATGTTACCAAAACTTGTTGTTCTCCTTACATCCCGGCTTTGTGCCTCCTAGCAAACAAGCCTATAACCTCACTCTGTTACACCAGCAATGAAACTAAACCGAAACTTCAACGACAGGGGTTTTAACATCGAGGGCAGGCCCCATCCTCCTTTGCCCCTTAAGATAGGTGGGCTAGGTTAACGGGGTTACAAGGAGGTTAAACGGGAGGACAATGACAGTGTTTGAAATTAGGCGTTTCGTACTTATAATAATCTGCTATATCGTATTACAATGTTAACAGAGAGTTTTCTTTATTTTTATTTGTACAGCATCAGACTACAATTAGAGTGAGTTTACAAAATCATTACCTTTAGTTTATGTGTATGATTTTCTACAAGTTTTTGTTAACAGTACCTGTGAATTTTCTTTGTGTCTTCCTCCTTTTAATATATATATATATATAGTTTCAAAAATGACCTTTGTTCATAGGTCTACCCAGCCTGAGTGAGTGTCAGGTACAGTCCTATGAAGTAAAGGCGGCTGGCGTGATACTGACCACATCACCCACCAAGTGCCGTTTAGACCATACAATGTAGGTCTGGTCCTCTAAACCCAATTCGCGTGAAGGCGTGGAAATGGGTTCTTTGCTTAACTATATATATATATATATATATATATATATATATATATATATATATATATATATATATATATATATATATATATATATATATATATATATATATATATATAGGTTTTGGAGGGGGAGGGTATTGTCGTGATGGTCTTGCTATATATTCAAAGAAAGCGCCATGAGGAAAAAAAGGTAGAAAACCAATTGTCCTAGACCAGAAAACAACGACGACACTTACCATGATCTATGTCGTTGGCGTCCAGAGCAAAAGTTGTGTTTGGGTCAGAAGTCTGCGCCAGGTAAGCCAAGCCCAGCGTGGTCCCAATTGTTGACGGGATTGCAAACCAGATGTACGTGGCCGCAAAGAACCCCAGAACTCCCTGGACGGGTTTGGCAGCGATACGACTCTGCCAGGAAGCTTGGTCGCAGAAAGTGATGGAAGCAGTTGCGAAGAAGCCTTGCACAGCCCAAATAATGGCGCCTTCAGACCAGAACGTAATGTAGCTTCTGAAACAGACAGGGAAAGAGATGAATGAACCTGGACCTCGCTAGAACATCACAATGAACCATTAACACCCGGTGACACAAAGTGCCACTTTTCGGATAAAAATCCCCAGGGGGCAAGTCCTAGAAAAACAGCTGAACAAAAAGGCTGTAATATTTTTGTCTCTGAAGGTTACAAAGTGGCCTGCAGTCCAGCTGTGGTGCGGCTGTGATTTAAACAAAAACATGATTGTATCCCACATAGGGACGGGAATATTTAACAGATGGGTCAAAGGTGATGATGAGCTCTGTAAGACTACAGATAATACCCTAAAATACGTCGAGATTGAAGAATAGGGTATTCACATTACCATAGCACCGATACGAGGAAACATTTTTATGGTTCCGCCCTCTTATAATTTTTTGCGTCGCAGTGGCTGAAGGGTTCGAAAGCCTTGCTTAAGTGAGAAATAATAATATTACTAAATAGCTACTCATAGTTTGTTTGTTTGTTTATTTTAGTATCCAGAAGCCATGAGTTGTTAACCCTTAGGCTCGGTATTATGGATATCGCAACCTTTCAGCCTTGATTCCATTGTAAATACCGTAAATCTGGGAGAAAATTTGGCTTTCCTGCCTACCCCCAAGATTGAACCCGGACCACAAGGAGTTCGTCACGGGTCTCCGCGCAATCCGGTTTAGCCAACTACGCTAGAGAGCCGGTCAGCTACTCGCAGTTAAGAGGCTACATAGAGCCCCAAATAACTTTTCTGGAGGGGGGAGGGGAGAGCTCGGCCCCCTAACAAATATTAGAGAGGGGGAGGTAGGAAATGTCTGAGCCCCCCCCCCCCCCCCCCCCCCCACCCCCAAAAGATAAAAAAAAAGATACTTAAGTAGGTGTAACTTAAACTCCTGGTTGCAGCGCCGCTGATATGTACTTGAACATCACGTGGCTTCATAAGAGGGCACCACAGTTATGAGCAATT